CAATGCGCTGACCAAATCCCGGTATTGCTCCGCCGCTTGGATACCATCCGGGTTGTCTTCAGGAACTGTGGCATTGGGGTCTGACAACTTTCCACTGATCGGCTTGTAAATCTCTTCAATGGCTTTTGAAAAATCAATTTGATCGTCCAACATACCGCTAATCGCCTTGAAGTACTTCTTTGACTCGTCATTCAACTTCTTTGTTTCGATCTCGATTTCCTTGAATCTCCGCTCGGCATCTTCGTACACGGGATCATTGGTGACTTCCCCCATGTTTAACTTTTCACGGAAGTTCTGGGGTGCCCTTACAAGGGACTTTTTGAAACCCTTGAACGACATTTTTGGTGTAGGGTGCGTTGGCTTTCTTAGTCTCTTGTTGCTCTGCTTTCCTAGTCTCTTGTTGCTTTGCGTCGGTGAGATATTTTCGGTCGATTTTCGGAGAGCGAGAGATGATAGCACTTACTAGGCTTTTCAAATTAGAGCGAAGCAATTGCTGGAGGAAGACATTCGTGAAAGAGATTCACATCTGTGTATGAAATCCCTCAGTTTAGAGCTCCTTGTTGGAGAAATTCCGCATTAGTGGTAGGTCATATTTATGTCTGCCATTGTTTCTCTAACAATTCTTCTTGCGCCATAATCCAATTACGTAAACATTAGGTGTCCCCTCCGTATACCACTTCGAAGGCGCGAGTATATGTAGTTATTTACAAATGACTGTTTAACTGTATAAAAAACAGGGTGCATGGGTTGGATAGGAAAGCTTATCAAAGTCACTCTATGATAGAGCAAAGAATTGAGCCGCGCACGCCTATCACTAATATAATTTAAAAAAAATTATCAACTGACTTTTCAAAGAGTCAGCCTAGTTGCTCTTCTCTAACTATGATCCCAAAATTAGAAGCATATGACGTTGGTCCACACTCGGGCTTTCTCCCTTCGACGTTACCTTTAGAAAGGTTGCCCCAAAAGTACTACAAACCATGGGAAGAGATTATTAGCAACCTCCAAGCATTATTAATAACTCGCAAGATCAGAGACGTTGTCAATAAGCTCCCAAACCTCTCTACAGGCCACTTGGAAAATGAGAGGGAGCTTCAAAGAGCATATCAAGTGTTGGGATTCATTGCACACGCTTACATATGGGGCACTAATGAGCCGGTTGACAAGTTACCACCACAAATAGCCGAGCCGTGGATAAGCGTTTCTTCAAAATTGGGACTTCCACCTATTGGTACATACAGTGGACTTGTGTTGTACAATTTTAAAAAGATTGACAAGGATGGGGACTTTAGTTTGGATAATCTCACCACAATCAATACATTTACAGGGTCGATAGACGAAAGCTGGTTCTATTTGGTAAGCATCTACTTTGAACGGAAAGGGTCCTTGTCAATATACACCGGAATGGAGGCATTGAAATGCGCCGAAAGGGGTCAGACAAAGCAGCTAATCGAAAACTTGCAACAACTTGCTGAGTCGATTGATATACTTGGCTCGACCCTATTGCGTATGGAAGAAATGTGTGACCCACATATTTTTTACTTTCGAATAAGACCTTACTTGGCCGGGTGGCAAAACATGGCTAGTGTGGGACTTGAAAAGGGGGTCTACTATGGGAATGAAAAGACTGCGAGAAGCTATGCTGGCGGGTCCAATGCTCAGTCGTCGTTGCCGCAGTTTTTAGACATTATTTTGGGTATTCGTCATTTTGCAACTGGCGATCTCACTGCTGACAATTCGTTTTTGAATGAGATGAGGCAATACATGCCAAAGAAGCACCGTGAATTCCTCGAAGCTTTGGAGCCGTATACGTCCACGATTAGGGACTTTGTCAGCTCTCAACACAATGAGGAATTGACTTTGGCTTACGATGCATGTTTGGCAATGTTGAAATCGTTTAGAGACAAGCACATACAAATAGTGACAAGGTACGTTGTCCTTCAAGCAAAGAAGGTGAACAAGATGGGATCAGGCTCGACGTTGAGATCAGGCTTAGCTAGACTGAAACAAGGAGAAGAAAAGGGAACTGGTGGTACTTCTTTGCTTCCCTTTTTGAAGCAATGCAGAGATGAAACGGGTAATGCAGCTGCTGGTAGCTGGGGTAAGAGGATACTCACCGATGGTGTGTTGCGGTTAAAGTATTCCAAGCCCAACGGTATTAACGAGGATTAGGATTATGTAGATTAGGATTATGTAGTTTAGAAATGTATATTAAAAGCAATTGTCTTCAGCGTTACTTTTCGGAAAAAAAAAAGAGAAAATTTTTTTGTAATACCCTCTCTATGATCAGACTATTCACCACAATGACCAAGAAAGCAAAAGCACAGGACTTCCTCCTCAAGACTCCTAAAGGTACCAAGGATTGGGCCGACAAGGACATGGTTATCAGAGAATCCATCTTTGGTAAATTATCTACAATTTTCAAAAAGCATGGTGGGGTGACTATTGACACTCCTGTGTTTGAATTGAGGGAGATCTTGACTGGAAAGTATGGTGAGGATTCGAAATTAATCTACAATTTGGAGGACCAAGGTGGTGAGTTGACCTCTTTGAGGTACGACTTGACTGTACCTTTTGCGAGATTTGTTGCTTGCAACAACTTGAGCAGTATCAAGAGATACCACATTGCAAAGGTTTACAGAAGAGATCAGCCAGCCATGACCAAAGGTAGGATGAGAGAGTTTTACCAGTGCGACTTTGACATTGCTGGTACCTATGATCTCATGGTTCCAGATGCGGAGATTTTAAACATCCTTTGCGAAGGGTTGAACGAGTTGAACATCAAGGATTATAAAGTTAAATTAAACCATCGTAAGATATTGGATGGTATTTTTGAAGAATGCGGGGTTCCCGAAGAAGACATTCGTAAGGTATCATCAGCCATCGACAAGTTGGACAAGTCTCCTTGGGAAGCAGTCAAGAAGGAGATTTTAGAAAAGGGGCAAAGCGAGGACGTTGCCGATAAGATTTGGCAATACGTGCAACACAATGGGCCAATACGTGAAGTTATCCCGATCCTCAAAAATATCAATAATGCCACCGCCAAACAAGGAATTCAAGAGATGGAGATCTTGGCCGACTATGTCGAAGCTTTCAACATTCAGGATCATTTAACATTTGATTTGTCGTTGGCTAGAGGTTTGGATTACTACACGGGTCTTATTTACGAAGCTGTCACTGCTGCCAGTGCACCACCAAAGAATGCTAGTGAGTTGAAAAACGAAGCCAAGGGAAAAGGAGAAGATGAAGATGCGTCAGCTTATGTCGGTGTTGGGTCAATTGCTGCAGGCGGTCGTTACGACAACTTGGTTGGTATGTTTTCAAACAACAAGTCCATCCCTTGTGTTGGTATTTCTTTTGGTGTCGAGAGATTATTTTCCATCATCAAGCAAAGAACAGACTTGTCCAAGCTTAGTTCGCAACACACTGACGTCTATGTTATGGCATTCGGCGGTGGCGAAGGGTGGAATGGATTCTTGAAGGAGAGAATGCAAGTTACCAATCAATTGTGGAAGGCTGGTATTAATGCCGAGTTTACATACAAAGCCAAAGCCAACACTCGTAAGCAATTTGACGGTGCGGAAAAGTCTGGCGCCAAACTCGCCGTTATATTAGGTAAAGAAGAGTATCCAGAAGGGAAAGTCAGAGTAAAGAGATTGGGCCAAGGTGAAGAGAATGAAGGTGACGTCGTGCCAGTTGATGAAATGGTATCTTTTGTCAAATCACAACTACAAGTTGACGGAATTACAGAATCTCTTGGTAATTTGTAAATAGTGTATTTTTTTTTAGAATTTCCTAATTGTCCTGGTTTTCATCGAGTTTGTCTATTTTGTGTCCATGTTTTTCCTTTCCTGTTCTCTTAACCCTATTCCATAGCGTGTTCACGTCGTTGAATATAAACCACCAAATGACCCCACACCAGCTTTCAACTTGGGGCAACGGGTCATAAAAGTCTGCTGCAATGCGACGAAGTTCAGGTAACTTTGTCCACGCAATGTAAGGGAAATCGTGATGCTCATTATGGTAACCGACATTCCAAGTAACCAAGTTCAACGAGCCGTAATAGGAGTACGTCTCTGGAGGAACTGGTATGTCCTTCGATTTAGGTTTGTTATTGTCATTCAACACATAATGTTCTGCGATAAAGTGACCGGCGCAAGGGTGCAACGAGCCTGCCAAAAAGGAACTCATTATAAAATAAGCAAAACTATTCCACCCGAAATATTTGACCCAGAAGTGATCAAAGACAAGTTGGTGAACAACATTCAACAAATGGATATAGGTAAACTTGATTTGCGTAACAAACATTGGCCTCAAAGCGTAAAAGAAAATCTGGCAAGTTGCAAAAAATACTTTTCCCAACAAGTTGGACAAGATGATAGCTTCAAATCGGGTTGGCAAATCGGTGTCCAAGTATTCATCACCCATAAATTTGTGATGCAATTGGTGATAGGGCTGAAAGGAGGCAGAATAAGGGATCCCAATAGGGACGTTGGCGACAATTGCAAACAACTTGTTATGCAACGGCTTTTTAAATAATAAGTTGTGACTCAACTCATGTATGGCTAGGAAGATTGCTTGGTTTGCAGTAGCGCCAATCACATATGCTAGGAGAACAAACTTCCACGACAAAACAGGCGTATTCCGGAGATAAAATGCCACAGACAACTGCAAAAGAACAACGAGCAAGACATACCACTTTGTCTTTGGTTCGTATCCAGTGAGTTTGCGGACTTCTGGATGCTTAGCTAGAATGAGCTTCCTACGAAGCGTGTGTGGTTCAGCTTCATTAGTCCAATAAAAATCATTCAAAACTTCTATCGACGCGTCTGCTGGTGGGGTAACGAATGTGAATGTCTGTTCTGAGTTTCTATGCTTGATTGAAGAGTCCATCGTTGTGGGAGTATCTAATCATGGATAAAAGAGAAGAAACGTGTCTTGAAAAGGGAGGGGAAAATTTTTATATATATAAGGTCTGGATTTGAAATTTTCTGTGTAAGCAAAAATAACATGATTTTTTTTTCTTTTGACACACCATGTTATACGATGCAGGGCCATGCAGGCAGTATCGACGCGTATCTCTAAAATCTAGAGATTCAATAGGGGATTTACACTTTCGGGGTGTTTAGATTATAAAAGTTTACCCGATTTGCATCCGCCACCCTCGACAAAACTATATTTTGTCCGCACTGTGTTTTATTTGCCACCACATTTCACATTTCTTCATCAAAGTAAATGTCAGAAGAAGTAGCGTCTACACCAGTACAAGTTTACGTGTATGATTTGTCGAGGGGACTCGCGAGAAACTACAGTCGTATGTTCTTGGGTACTGAGATTGAGGCAATCTACCACACCTCAGTCGTGGTGAGAGGCAATGAATATTATATTGATCGTGGGATACAAACGATTAGGGCTCTGTCGTACCACCTTAAATACGGCCCACCCATGGAGGTTATCGATGTTGGAGAGACGTTTATTGATGATGAAATAATCAAAGAGTTTATCAATGATCTAAACAATAGGGAGGATATGAAGTACGACGCCGCCAGCTATGATTTGTTTACCAACAATTGCAATCACTTTACAGATACATTTTTGGAGTTTTTATGCGACAAGAAGTTGGATGAGAGAATATTAAACTTGCCGGCGGTTGTTTTGGAGACACCAGCGGGTCGAATGTTGCAGCAAATGATTGGTGGTACCGGACAGCTTTTTTGAGTGTTTATTCTATGTAGGTTTTCATGCCGCAGAAATATAAAATCGTCTCCCTTGAAATCAATACTTTTTGCAACACTTTTCATCTACTTTTCGTCCACATTTCATCCACATTTCGTCCACCACACTTTATACAACAAGCAGCAGAGGGGCTGAGAGGGACTCTGGGACTACACATCACTAGAGTTTAACAATGAACGATTCGTCTTTGGTCAAGGTATGTACAATCCAAAATTGTGTCCAGTGTTACTCGTATGTGCTAACATCCCTCCAAGTCTTTTAACCTGATGAGCTTCCCCATGGAGTCAAACCGGCAAGGCAATCCACCACAGTCTTGCGACAACACTATCGACTCAAACCAAACTGTCAATACCAGCTATTTGAGTAGCAACGAGTACCACAATGCCAATTTACAACATCAACAGTTACACCACCATCAGCCACCGGCAAGCCAACACCAACATATGCTGTCTCAAAACTCGATGCAAAAATATCCATACCAATCGGACTATACACCAATGAAGCTCTGGAATTCGACCTATCCTCAACAAAATTGGCAAAACAAGCCAAACCCATTCCAACCATTAAAGGAGTCACAGGAGGTTTTTGATGCAGACAATATCTTCTTTGACCATAAGTCAAATGAAAAGAGGTCAGCACTTCAATACAACGCAGCAAGTAACAAGTACATGAAAAACAGTATGCTCAATGCCCCAAGCTATGTTCCGTATAGATACCCGCTGACACCGAATTCCACCGTTGGTGGCAACAAAGTAGAGGATGACAAGGGCACAGATTTGAAAGAAGAGGTGCAAAAGTTGAAAAATGAATTGATTTTGAAGAATCAAATGATTAAAAACTTGACAGACCAGATTAGCATCATGATAAAAAACAAAAATAGCAAGGCTTACTACGAGGTAAAGGAAGATGGCGGTAGTAACCACTCGCCCACGTTTAAATTACCACAGAACCACTTTCAACTATTCCAGGACTTGTCAAAAACATTGCAAGAAAAGTGTCAAGAATTGGATGATGCCAATCAAAGAATGGAGATTATCCTCGTTTCCAGCCATATTTGTAACAATGGGAGTAGTAATGCTGTGGGGTATGATGTTGAGGAATTGAGCCATAAGTTGCTTTACAAGATGAATCAGTTGCAGGCAGAGAATGATGAATTGGTAAAGATGGTCAGCTTGAGCAACAAATCGAGTTTACTAGTTGAAATTGGATTATTGAAGCAGCAGATCACCCTGTTGACAAAGAAAGATGGCAAGCAAGAAGAGTAAGTAGAGCAAGTAGAGCAAGAGTAATCCCAAGATGGTGCCATTGCAATATCGCTATAATGTCATCATTGCAACTCTTTACATTACATACACCCCTGTGGCACTCTAAAGTGGACAAAACCCCACCGACCAATTGTCTTTATCCAAAGACTCACAAAATCAAGATTTACCCTCCCAAAACCAACAACCAAAGGACCGGTGATAAACCTGTATTAAAACAAAGGAGCAGTCAGTTCTCGCGCGCGCGTTGGTAGCCCTCAGCAACAAAATTTCAAAACGATCTAGAACCAAATAAGAAAAAATATACTTGGCACTTCAATGTAGATCCCACCAAAGAGAAAGCCTTGTTGCAAACCACCCCCATCGCCTACATCCTCTTACTCAGACCAAATGTGTATTTGTTTTGAAATTCTATTTTTAGAGTCAAGAAAAATTAAAGCTTCAGTTGTCAAATGGAGAAATAAGGCAAAGCATTACGCCTTGTTGCATTAGAGTAAAAGCAAAAGCATATCCTGAGTCTAGATCAATAGACGAGCAATATATAAAAAAAAATAAGCACCACAAAGCATTTAGACTTCGGCGTTTAATATGTGCTTTGATTTTGTGATCTGTAGACTACGCACATTTGCTTCTCTTTCTCTCTCCCCCTTCTTCACTCACAGTTCCTAGTGTTCCGTGCTGGGTGCAATCTCTCCGAGCGCTTCTAGATAGAAAAAAAAAATAAAAAAAAGAGAGCCGTAGGATTCAGTGTGGACCAGAAAGAGACGCGCTTTTTGAGTATAGTTGCTGTGGATCCCGGGTTTTGCCACTTATACCAACGTTGATATGGGGATGTTATATCAATAGTTGCTCTCTTAGAGCAGTGTCACTATTACCCGAGACCCGTGTTTTATCAAAACAATAGAGTCAAATTTCGGAGGTTTTGAATTTTTACGTCAATTTTAAATTTCTCTGAATTTCTTTAAATTTCTTTTTTTTTTGTTTTGCTCTGTTTACGAAATTTATCTCCTTTCGGCGTGTAGTTTAAAATGACATTGATTTCCCATACAAGAGGAAAAAAAGAATACACAGCTTAGAAGTTGTTACCTTCGATTTGAGAAAGTCTGCTTGGTCTATATCAGTATCGTTCTGAATCTTCCCCTCCGCCATGATTCCTCAATCGTCGTTCCATTTCGAAAAGGAAAAGGTGCTTCTATCCTCAGATCCACGGTCTCCATTTTACTACAATTTACCACCATACGATTCGAAACCAATTGACAATTTAATTGAGTTTTTCAAACTATGGAAATATTTCATCAAATCAATCATTTACTACTTCAAGGAGATTCTTTTGGTTAAAGAATTGGAAGCGAATCTCAACTATCAATTGATTAGCGCTGTACAATTCCCTGGATGTAAAGATTTGCCCAACAAGATTTTGCAAGATATCAAGTTGAATACTCCCGGTATGAATGGAACTTTGCTGCCAAAGAACCATACACCGACCAAAGAGGTCAAGAGGAATTTGTCAAACTCTAGTTTGTCGTCAATGAACACAAATGCCAGCAGTGCCGCTTCATTCAATCCAGCGTCATCAGGCACACCGGTTAGTGTTCCAAGTGGCCCTATCACGGCATCGAGCGCTAATATTCCAACATCAGGGTCATCAATGACACCACAAAAGACAGCAACCTCGCTTTCAGATAAACAACGCCCAGGGCTATTCAAAACCAAGTCAAGTTCAAATCAATCCTTTTTGAAAAATGCAGCAAACAACTTACACAAGAGAAATTCGTCGTTTGCTAGTGTCAGACAGTTGGGACAACTGCAACACCAGCACCACCAACAAGCACCACCCTCTCCCCAATTCCAACCTAGTGGCGCCTCAACACCACCTTTGCCTGCAGAAACTCTCAACACCAATGACGTGAGGATCCCACCGACTTTTTTCCCCGACAACTCATTATACACAAACTTGCCAGCAGTTTTATTAAGTTCGCACCACGTTGCATTCAACAATAGTTTTAAACTACGCAAGGATTTAAGCACAAAGTTGATCCCACGGTTAGAGGTCTTGTTGAAGCAAGTGTCACACAAAATCAAGGAAATTAAAACCTCCCTCAAAAACGATGCCTTTGCCAATACCGAATTACTGAAGGAGATTTCCAAAACTGGCCAAGTATTGAGTAGGTACACCGCTGCTATTGAGACATATTGTGGCACAAAACCAGTGGTTAAAGGATACTTGCGTGATTATGATGGTGGCAGTGGCGGTGGTGGAGACGATGAAGAGTTTGCCGCGTTGGACGATCCATTATTGGTTAAGTTAGACGTTGATTCGAGACTCAAAACGCAGTTGATCTATGAAAATTACATGATTGCGTCCTATGTCAATTTACAAAACATCAGTAAGGATCTATTCACGTATTTATTAAAAGAGTTGAATTGGATAATTGACAAATTTGGTAAATTGGATTTCAATTCGGAATTTTATCAGTTTTTGAAAACGAAAATCAGTAGCTCGTCAACTACTGATTGGGAATACTTCATCACACACAACAACTGTTTTGTCAATACATATTATGCCACTGACTTGAACCCTAAGCGAGAGAATAGAACTTTCAAAATGGTGACATTGCCCTATGCTAATTCTGTGCAGAATAAATGTCTTCGATTTGGACTGATGTACAAGAAGCAAAAGTTGATGAAGAATTATACGCGTCATTACTATGTTCTTTCATGCAATTACCTTCATGAATTCAAATTCAATGAAGAAATCAATCAACAAATGAAAAAGTCAAAGGACAAGATTGGAGGATTTATTGGATATGAAGATGAGCCAGTGAAGTCATACAACCTCAATGATTATCAAATTGCTGTAAAGGATGAATCTTCGTTTAAATTCACCTTGACGAAAACATCCAATAAATCGAAAAAAACATTCAAGTGTGCCAATGCTGACGATTACAATTCTTGGGTTGAGGATTTATCGGAATTGTTGAAATTTGGTAATGATCATTATTCTCGGTTTGCCTTTATTCAAAGAAAAGCTGATCAAAGTATACGTCAACCAATTCGCAAGGCAAAGAAGCAAAACAATCCTGGATTGACTTTGGAATTGGGTAATGCATCCAATCCAGCACTATCAGGAATGTTTACTCCCAAGATCAAGACTCCAAATGAATCACCACGTCATAAAGATGAGAATCCATTTGAAGAAATGCTTACTTCATTGCCTCAGCAGAAACAGCAACAGCAACAGCAGCAGAAACAGCAACAACAAAACAGCAGTCAAGGTGGTAGTGTATCAGCATCACCACATTTGACACCCAAAGTTGCCTCTCCTGCTTATGCTACATTTTCAGCTACCGAGCAACAAGACCAACATGAAGAGTATTTGAAGTTGCAACATGCACTTGTCAAACAAGAGACCGAAATCTCCAACCTTAAATCACAAGAGCAACAGAATATCGAACTTATCCAACAGAAGTTGCAGACTATTCACGACCAACAATTACACATCGAGGAGCAAGATCATCAACAGCAGCAACAGCAGCAACAGCAAAAACAACAACAGAGCAACCACATTTCATCTGCTTCTACATCTCCATCGTTCCCCGGATTGGGTGTACATAAACCATCGTCAGATAGTTTGAATTCATTTATAATTGAGCAAAATACAGTACCAGTGGCTCATGCAGCTGTCAATGGATTGCAACAATCAGGAGATGCACCTATGATGTTTAGTTTTGGTGACAATGGTGCTAGCCATCATAGTTCTGATAGTGAAAATAATAATGGTAATGCCAACCCAGGTGCTTCAAACGGACAAGGACAATCGGCAAAGGAATCGAGTCCTAGTATTCCAACCGTTTTCGTTTCTGAAGAATAAGAGAAAGAGAGACCTAGAGTGATATTTTATAGAGTGTATATAAACCAATCATAGAGTATCTACTGAGTACGTAGTGTACGTTTCTTCGTTATTCATTCAAAATTCTATTAAAACTCCTTTCTTAGACTAAGCACATTTAACCCCAGAAACATCTCTAATCAAACATCTCAGCTTCTTATCCATTATACTCGAAGTACTCAAATTCAATTGGAAAAAGTTACCACATTTCCAAATTTCAAACTGAACCAAACTCTCAAAAGCAACTTTATCCAGTCTATACAAATTTGCTGCATCGATATTTAAGGGAGAATCAGGTTCAGGGTTATCCAACAATTGTAAAATGGCAACCACCAAACTTTCCAAGTTCCATGCCGGACTCCACTGTGTCTTCAACACATCAAGGCATATTTCACCCGTTTGGAAGTTGATATTGGGGTGGATTATGGGAGTGAGGAATTTGATTGTTGGTGGTTGTTGCGGGTATGTCGATGGTACATCAATGGCTAGTTTCCATACGCCTCCATAGTAAAATTGTGAGTCCTTTTTGGTTGGTTTGGCGATGGTTGCTTGCCAGTGGAATAAAGTATCGTCTTCGTTGATGGGGGATAGCTGTATTATTTGGTGGTTGTTGGCGTGAGGTGGTTGTTTCTTGTACAAGCTGTATTCTTTGATCAAACGTCTTTCTGCTGACATGGTCTCTATTTTTTTAGTTGTGGTAAGCTAGAGAGCTGCGAGGGGGGTAATGAATATGTATATGTTTATGTATAAAGACAGTTAGTATAGTAGGGTATGTGTATTGTGTATCGATGAAGAAAAATTGTTGTAGTTTAGTAAAATTTTACAACGTTTTATATATTTGTGTGTACGTATATATATATATATATATATATATATATATGTGAGTATATATGTATGTGTGACATTAGTTGCATGTGAGAAATTAGTTGTGCGTGTGTGTGTCATTCAAAAAAATTTTTTTTTAAATTCTTCGGCTCATTTTGAAACGGAGTTTAAGAAGTAAACAAAAAAGACGTAAACAGTGAAGAGAAAAAAAATGCGGGGGGAGGGGAAGCAAAAGTGAAAAAGAAATTCGGAGGAAACTGGTAGCCCCAGTTATAAAGTATACTTAATTATTGACCACTGTTAGATCTATTGCCGCTTCCTAGAAAAGCTAAACATTTTTTCCTAATCCCGAACAACTCATCACACTTGACTTCGTATTCATTGTCGTATCGCATTTCTAGAAGTCCTAAAAGAAAAAAAAGAAAAGAAAAGAGAGGAAAAACCGTTGGGGAATATTTATTTTCCGGATGTTACTTGCACAAAATCAAACAGACCGAGGATGCTATCACATCTAGATTTAGCGCAAAAGAACATTTGCAAATAGTTAGTCGTCTAATCGGAACACAAGCATATCCATAAATACCTACAACAGTTACTAAACTAACGGATATTTATTTTTGAAACATTTATGTAAAAAACAGAGGTTACGAAAAAAAAAAATTTAGTCAACGTAAAGGCACAACTAAACAGCAATAAACCCGGCAATTAAGGCTAAAAATCCAACAATACCAGTAGTAGAAGTGGTTGCCAACATAACACCTTCATTTGCTTTTGAGCCGGAAGACGTACTAGATGAACCAGTAGACGATGACGAGGATGAAGAAGATGCAGCAGTAGCAGAATGAGTTGATGCACCAATAGTACTACTATAATCATTCGAATCATCAACGTCATTATCACCATTACAGTTACCCTGAACATAAGCATCAAATCCATGACCAGTTGGTTCAGCCACTCCTTTAATGTACTTGATGGCTCCACCAGGAGTATCAGGGATTTCTTCCGTGACATTCCAAAGAGAAGATTTGGTAGGACAATTGTTACCACCATCGGATTTATGGTATCCACCATCACCACTGGGGTCTTCAGTATTGTTGAATTCTGATTTCAAGTTTTTAAAATCCTGATTGGGCGTTACATCATCGCCATCCAATTTCACCAATCCATATTCATTATCTTCTTCGGAATACTCGTAAACTAATCCACCTGAAAACACGGCAGACATGTCAGTAGAATAAATCGATTCAATTTCACTAAAAGGTCTAGGCTTTTTGGCATTGCACCCAAACTCGGAGAAAAACAAGGGGATGGTGAAGTTTTTGAAATCCTTCAACTCTTGTGAATATTGTGATGTAGTCATACTGGCATCACCACACCATGAATAATCATTTATACCGTACATGTCAATTCTGGCCAATTCATCATCACCACAGTTGAAGTACAATCCTGAACTTAAACGGTATTCATCAACACTGGCCGCTGAATAGCCCACAGGAATAGTCCTAAACCCACGGTTTTTGATAAATGTTTTCAAATCACGAACTACTGCTTTAACATAAGGAGCTGCGTCTAACGAAGCACCATCGTTAATAACCTCATTTCCAGCAAAGAAACCCAAAGTGTTGTTATACTGAGCAAACAATTGGGCTGAAGCAAAAACTTCTTGTAAATAGTCGGAATTATAGGAACAATTGGCATTGGATCTAGTAATTGATGAATGTGGCGTATTGACATCCAATATGACATATATACCAGCATTGGCTAACTTGTCCATACATTCATCATGATCTTTAGTATTATCAACCGAGTAAACACGAACAGTGTTTATGCCCAATTCTTGGAAATAAGGAATATCCCTCTCACAAACATCAGTGTCAGCTAAAGGATCTTCCAATTCTGATGATCCACCTGGTTGGTAATCAACTCCTCTAATGTAGAAACGCTCACCAGTTTCAGTGTTCCAAAAGGCATTACCGCGTACTTCAATAGTGGGGATAGCCAAAACAGCAGTCGAAGTAAGCGATATAAAGCTTAGTAATGATTTGAATAGCATTTGTACAAGTGGTAGTAGCTTCCTTGATTAAACGAGCGTAAACGGGTTAGTTGGGTGGAAGTAAAAATAAACTATGAAGGGGAAAACTTTTTTATAATATATTTGTTTTGGTTTTTGTTTGGTCTGTATTGTTTGGATGTTTGAAGTTTTTCTTTCGCTTTTTTTTAATTGCGTGTGAGTGTGTGAATGTGTGTGGGTGGAGTAAAGAATTATAAAAGTGGTGTTATTGTTTCTTTTTAGCGACGTATAGATCACAAAAGAAACAAAAGAACAATTTGAATTTACGCGTATGTATACTGAAAATATTCATACAAAACAAATATACATACCCAGACACAGACACAGGCACATACACGACAGCTGAATAGTGTCAACAGTTCAACCATAGATTGAAGTTCGTCAAAGAGCAGTAAGTGTATAAGTAAAGTGGTGTTGGCTGTTTTTGACATTTTGACAGATATTTATTATTATATTGATGTGGCATAAAGCATCATTCTGTGGGTTTGAACAAAGGGTCTTCTGAGTTCTAGTTTTTACTTATTACAATTAGAAATTATCTTGAACAATTTCTTCCCAACTGTTCATTTACTTCTACCTACTGCAATATCACATTACAAAAGGTACAGGTTGTGGAGTAAGAAAATAGGCTTAAAAGATCTTCAATTAAGAAAAGCTTCGTATTTACACTTTCTCGTAAAACAAAAAAAGAACAAAAAAAAACAATCGAATAGCTTTTAATACAGTCATCTTATTTTTTATTCATATTGGTGCGACATAATTGTTCACACCAATGCGACATTTATTATTCAAACCAACACGACATAATTATTCATACGAGTGCGACATAGATTTTCAAACCACATTAGTACCCAAAAGAATTTCTGTATCTCTAACCTGGTTGATGTACCTGATTCTGTCGAATTAGGGCAATTAGTTTAAAAGTATGAAAAAATATCAAACCAGGATTTCTTTTTTGGTTTGAGCTTAACCTTTTCTACTGTCCTCTCTCGGAGTTTTTGCAGTCATTTTCCCAAGCTAAAATCTGTTTCCTTCCTATTCATTGATTTAAGGATAAGGGCCCATAGTTTAGAAAGATTTCTGCTCTAAAAAATATTGAATAAAGCAATTGGCATGTCTAAAGAAACCTTGATAGCTTTCTAAGGTTACCTTTGCTGTTGCTTCTCTCACTTTTGGCGTTAACTGTTCTTTTCTAGATAGGCTTACACACGGACCAGAACTCTTCAATGGAATTGAGTCTTGGCGAATAAGGAGGCAAAAACACTAGCTCCATTCCACTCAGTGCTACTAATAACTGGATATCACAACGTTTGTGGATGGCTGCGTTGTCAAGTATCAAATACTTGATCTCTTGAAGTGTCTTGTTTGTCTCAATTTCTCTAAGCACAGACTTGACAAATTCAAAGAAATGATTGGCCGTGGTACCAACTCTTGTCTTCTCTTCCAAAACTGTGGTGTTGGAACCGAGTTTTCTCTTCTTGTTGAGGGGAGTTTCAGCTGGAAGTCGAACCTTCAAGTCAACGCATCCTTTGGAAGAGATGGCTCCTATGAATGATACATTGAGACCTCTGGCGACAAGAATAATCTACTTAACTTTCTCAGATGGATACTTTGGCGATGAAATTTTAAATTTGGGGACCATGGGGTATATTAGATTACAGCCTTTACGAACTTGACAACTAGCAATGTTATTTAATTCCATTAGAATCACTAAGCGTCAAACATATTTTATAGTATGCATAACTTTACTGACTGTCTTGGTACCTAGTTTAACAGCTTGCCACCTTCAAAGAGATCAAATATCAATAATCTATTGCCCGCATCCTGGCTGACTACACTGAGCCCCATCTTTGTTATCATTACAATAACCATCAACTCCACCGTAAGTATTGAAATAGAACTCCCCATGAACGGCATTTCCTCTGCCAATATCATTATAACCCTCATTATGTCCTGGATTGGGATTTACTGTTGCAGTTGCACAATATTTCCAACCGCCATTATTATGAAAAAAATTGGGAACTTCTTGATCATATTCCCACATTTCCTCCATTCCACGGTCCTGAGAAAGAACTCTATCCAAATCATGGTTTACATTATCCCAGTTCCAAGCAACATAGTTGACGTCGAAGTAGTTCTGTCTGAGTCTGACTCTGTTGCTAATGGTACTACTGTTGAAGTTATCAATGGTATCAACATTGGCTAAGACTGGCCGGGATTGTACGATATAGGTTGCTAACTCTGTTATATTTTTGATGCCAGTGGTATGGGCGGCTGCATGGTTACCGTAGACAGATTTCCAAGTGATAAGGTTTGCGTTAGCGATAGTACCTTCATCTGCGTCCCTCTTTTCTCCGACTGGTTCTGTATCTGCATCAGCTATGTGAAACAATCTGACACTGCTCACACCAGGTACAGAGCTCAATATGTCATTCACCTCACTTAATGTATCTGTCTCCCAATGTTCATCAATATGATACTTGCTCAAGTATCCATGTCTATGCACACTTGCTTACGACGACATCTCTTTTGGAATTACCCAAATTGGCTCCTCCTGCAACAGTCAAAGCAAGCCCAATACCACCCATAACAGTTATACCAGCAGCTGCATACCAACACTGTGAAGTAGCGATAGCAGCAGTCGTACCACAAGAATTAACCCACCAAAATCCTGCAAGGCCAGCCGCTGCTACCATCATTCCACCAATAGCAGCAGTTGTAAACCAAGCCCACCAATTCCTTCTTTCTAAGTAAGCTTTTGTGGACATTAAGTCTTTTCCATAGTTTGGTATCTTCAGTAAAGCCTTGGTAGATTGATGAGATTCGCCATGGTTAACAAACCAATCCGTATTTGTATACAAGACTATGAAGATTATAGTAATCAAAACCGCCACACAAGTCAAAATCTTCACAATCTTGCAAAGCTGAGCGAGTTGTTTTTCCCTATGGTCATCTTTCATCTTGGGAAGACGTTATTGAGGAATTGCTTTTATGATCGCCACGTATGAACTAATTCAGAACAACTAAAAAAGATCAAAGTGTTCTGCAAAGCTGCTCAGTTATACAGTCTTTTTATTTTTTATCCATACTAGTGCGACATAATTGTTCATATCATCTCTACGCATTAAACTCTACAGAAAATTATTGTTAGGTCGACTGAATCGACTGAATCGCATTTAGTATGAATTAAAAATAAAATGACTGTATATTGTATACATTTTGTGGTTGCAAAAACGTGACAATTTTGTGTTGGAGAAAAAAACAAAAATTGGTCCTCTCCTCCAAACACACAGATTCAATTTAAATCTTCATGAAGAGAAACAAAGTCTGATGTTATAGATATATAAAAAAATATTTCTCATAATCAAATACACAGATTCAATTACAGATAAAAAAAACTGAATCTTCAGGAGAAAGAGAACTCTGATGTCGTAGACACCTGGTGAGCAAAGAACAAACAAAACATTCACTTCTTTCCTCGAACGCACTCTTTGGAGGGCTTGGCATACACTAGGTTTGCTCTACATTTCGATTCCATCAGTTTTGGCCCATCAGCTACGTTATTAATTTGAGCCTTTTCAATTCGGCGTGGAGGTGTCGGCAATGGACGGCCTTAAACTGACCATATATAGCTCTCAACTCTAAGTCGGTGTAGAATTTTCGCAAGAATGAAAGGGACTGGTCTTGCAACTCCGAGTCACTAAAACGCTTCCTTATAAACTGAAAATTTGGTTTTGGATCCAGACGAAATTTAGGCTTCCTCAAATACCAAGTATTAATAATGTCGTACAGCTCGGGAAAATGGTAACCCACAATTCCGAACGGTAGCTGAGGACTAAGCATGTTTATGTCGTGAGTGAATGCAGAGTCAACTCGGGAATCATTTTCCCCTAAATATCCATACACAAAAAGCCTGGGCTCGTACCACCAATTAATAGAGGCGTTGGGGAAATTATGTTGTAGTTTCCCCATTGTTTTTGCAGCCATTTTGTCGCCACATTTGGTGGTTACAATTAGCATGGAGAGGCTTCTGTGACTATATTGCTCGAGGTTTTGGATCTTGTCAATATGGTTTTCGGCGTCTCCTTCATGTCTCAAACAAAGTTGCACGAGCAAGGGGAATTCTTTCTCCAAATGATGATTTGAAAAGACATCATGAAAAAGTATATTTCCCGCAAGGGACAACTCCTGAAGCAAAGAGGTATCGAAAGCTTCGCTTATTCTGGTGCAAACAGTCGTATAATTCATCAGGTGAAAATGCAATTTCTGCAACTTAAGCAATTTATAGAAGCTCGGATCATCTACAATCGGGGATCCGTGAAGCCAAATAGTAACCAACGTCAAACACGTAAGAAATGGGTACTCTTTAAGAACGTTTGAAAGACGGTCTTCATGAGGGTAGAAGTCAAAACTGAGCGTTGTTTTTATACCCAGTGGTA